GAGTATGGTCAACAAGTATGGAGCACACTGTGCACTTTACCGTCTGGGAGAAAATTATGGAACAAATATTGAATAAATTAGTGGTACTCGTAGGACTTTAAAATATTAGGCTAAATTTTTTTTTGTTTTTCCATGCAACTTTGACTGTCTCAAAATGACAACGGGATTCTATCCTCGATTAATCTGCGTTTAATATCCGAGTTTTTTCGCTATCTAAAAGATATGCTTTCACTGTTGTGGCCTTCATGATTTTTGCATTAGATGCAGTATTACTTTGTGTGTAATTTTGATTGTTCAATTTCCTTGAAGGCCCAATTCATGATTCGTATGTATCAGGCTAAATTGATGATGAAGAGCAGTGTTTGGAAAGGCTGCTGAAAGCTTCCTTTCAACTAATTTATTGATAAAATTTTTTCACCAAAGCCAACTCCCAGTGATCGTCGCCAAGCCGCGAGCGAGCCCAAAGTTTTTGTCATTTTGTCACGGGTTTGAAACTTGGTGTTAGTCACCTTCCTGATTTAAATAGCATTTTTGGCGATCACTATCACGTAGTAACAATTGGTAGCCTTCCAGAGATAATAGACGTTTGTAAATCGGTAGGTCCCTTGCTAGAATATTGCTGACCTATAAGAATTGACGCGAGCGTACCATTGAAATGGGTCAGTGCTCTCCAAAAATTTAATTTTGACCTCTTCAGCCTATCCTTTAACAATCCTTTCTCAGTTAAAATGCGATACCAAAAGTGTAAATTCTAACTGACTACCTTTGACTTCTCCCCTGGGATTTCTTCACATTTCCATAAAAACTTGTGTTCTGTTAAGGAGCACACGATCTGCTTTTTCAAGTGGTGGTAGAATGATGAAAATCTGTTAAGTAAGTAGTAAGGACATCTAAAAAACTTCAAGAAGCTAGTATTTACATTACTTTATTTACCCAAGGCAATTTGTTGGACAGTCTGGAGTAACTTTTCGAGTTGCGTTCCTATAATCTTCCAGATGTTTTTTGTTTTTTCTTCTCATTAATGAGAAGGAGAATATTGCGAAGATAAAGAGCGTGTAATCGGTCTATCTGCAATATCTACCGCATTGCGTACAAATTTCCCTTGTAACTGTAAGTTTAGATATTTTCATCGAGCCGTTATGGACTACGATGTTATCGCTAACCAACCAGTGGTAATTGACAATGGCTCGGGTTCTATCAAAGCTGGTTTCGCTGGGGGTCAGTCTCCAAAGGTGCGCTTCGCCAATTTTGTTGGCCGACCGAAGCATACTAGAGTGATGGCAGGGGCGTTGGAGGGCGATATGTTCATAGGTAGGTTTCTATGACTTCACTCAAATTATTGTGAAGAACCCCATCTCACAAATAGAGAGGGTATACAATACTAGTATATCATTATGGGAGTAAAAACGATCCAAACAGGTTTTTTCAAATCATGGGGCTGCTTGGCTCTGGCATAAAGCACTGGTGCTACTATAACTCAGAATCGTTATCAACATACTATTAAAACAGTGTTGCTAACTTTTGTAAAAGTCGAATCTTTTGGTCTGTTTAACTCACCATTGTTGAGGTCCGAAAGCTGAGGAATATAGAGGGTTGCTTACTCTCAAGTATCCAATGGAGCATGGTATAGTAACTGATTGGAATGATATGGAAAAAGTTTGGCAGTACATCTATAGTCAGGAACAGATGAATGTGAGTTAATCTCCTCGTAATTGGAAGCATTCCATGTTATGCAATAGCACCTAGATAAATCAAGATTATTTGGAATTTGTAGTATCTCGTCATCCTGTCCCAAAGCAAACTTACGGGAATCTTCAAAGTCTTTTTGCTCATTTTCGCATTGAGGAATGCATCTATTATAGATGCGTGTAGATCCTAGTCTCACTCTAAATATTGCAGATTGTTGGAGTCCGAATTTTCGCACCTGTTTAATTGTGTTCATTTTCAGATTTTTCCAGAGGAGCATCCTGTTCTTCTTACGGAAGCTCCTTTGAACCCGATGAAGCACAAAGAAAAGGTTTGCTTCAAATAACTCTTCAATATTTTCCTAGAAGTACATCAACTATATCAATTATATGTATGATAGATCAGCACAGATTTACCGAAAATGTGCATTAGGAACCATTCTTCATTATCAGTGTGCAGGGAGATACTTAGTGCTATTTTGCATATCTGATTACACCCGGCTGACTTGTCGGGCTAACTTTTTCTTCAAATTTTGGTTTTTCTTGCGAAAGGGACGCTTTTTAAGGTTTTTATTATGTAGATTATGTTTTAGACTCCAGGCTTCAATTTGCCATCATGCATGTATAATGTGGTGATTCGACTAGGTTCAAATAAAAAGCTTTATGTGGAACACTTTTTTGGAGAGCAACATTCGTATATATCTTGTAGTTTTGGAGCTAACAAAAGTGTACTCTTACATTAATCAAGTAAAATCATCACAGAAATCGTCTGCAGGATTAGAATTTGATCTCACATTTCAACGTCATCTAAGGGGAAAAGCGATTGAACCCGATCGTTGAGCCTGCCTGTAGCAACACAGATTGTACAACCATGTACAACCTGTGTTGCTATAGGCAGGCTGTACCTTAGCAAAAATTGCCCATGTTTACTTAGTGTTCGGCAGTAACATGATAATCATTGATAATTGCTCTTTGTTCTTAGGGAATGAACTATTGACAAACAGAGATACACATATATACAGACAAACCAAGCTCTTCATCACAAGTTACGATCGGGATAGTAGGCTAGCAAT